ATGTTCCTAGGTAAGGCGTTCATTGTTTCTAGGACATCTTAAGTCAATCTATATCATTCCTCTTTCGGAAACCTTCAGCCATGTAATGTATGACACAGGTCTTTCACTGGCTGCCCCAGACAAGTCGAACAGACAGCGAGTTTAAGAAAATACAGGGCGACTTTTAAGAAACACAAGGTGACTTTAAGAAAGCATAAGAGGACTTTTAGAACACATAAGGCGACTTTTAGGAAACACAACGTGACTTTTACAATACACAAGGCGACCATTAGAAAACTTATGGAACATTTTTAGAAACACAAGGCCCTTTTTACAAAACACAGGGTGACTTTAAGAAATCATAAGAGGACTTTTAGAACACATAAGGCGACTTTTAGGAAACACAACGTGACTTTTACAATACACAAGGCGACCATTAGAAAAGTTATGGAAAATTTTTTGAAACACAAGGCCTTTTTTAGAAAACACAGGGTGACTTTAAGAAAGCACAAGGCGGCTTTTATAGAACACAAGACGTATATATTCTTATTTTATTAATTCATAAAATGAATATACAAATTGTCAGAATATATGTGATTTTGAGAACGAAAATGTATGCCTAATCACTTAGACCCACCAAAATCCCAAAACCCTTCAGCCATCAACATCATTCCCATAAACCACTTCTGTATATTGTTATTATGTGCTAAAAGATAAATAAATATCATAATATGAAATGCATATACAAGCAAAGTCAATATATAATTGGGGGAGAGGGCACTAAGCCCCACCCCACCGCCCCCCCCCCCCACGCCAGGTTAGTTTTCAGAGATGAGGAGGGGGTTTGAGCGAAGAGTTAAAAAAATGATTGTGGTTTGGGAGGGGGGGGGGGGGGTGTGAGCATGTATGACGCAAGTGTTTGAGGTTCTGACACCCCCTCTGTTTCAGCCGCTGCATTAATGAACTGCTTGTATCTTCATCTTCTTCTTCAGCATTTCGACTTCTTCGACATAGGTTGTGTGACGCGTGTTTGTATTAGTATTTTGATTCGTTAATATAAACGATCAGTTGGCTATTTCTGTAATTAGTTTCTCGGACTCTTGCAGTGCAGACCACCACACGTATCGCTGCAACATTTCTGTCATTAGTTTCTCGGTCTCTTGCATTGCAGACTACCACAAGTATCTCTGCAACAATTATGTCATTAGTTTCTCGGTCTCTTGCAGCGCAGACCACCACATGTATCGCTGCAACATTTCTGTCTGCCAAAGCATTCAAAGTCGTTGTTGCAGCGGACTCTTTTGTTTCTGGAGCACCAGCTGGAGCCCAGGGTTGTATATCTCGGACAGGTCCCCTTCTTTTCTTTCTGGACACAGCTAAATCTGGGCAGACACGGCAGTTTTTTGCAGACTATTAAAATCTTCCTGCAGACATATTCCGGCCGACATTCGCCGCACTCGCTGGTGCAGAAGTTGGTGTTGTTGGAGGTTGTGATGCCAACTTGCTGGGCCGGATCTTGCTTGCCGTAGCAGCAGGTGCCGCGGCTGCTGCTGTCGTCAGGCACACATCGGGAGTCAGTAGGGCAGTTGGGCTCCCCGTCTGGTTGATTGGGATCGCAACCGCGGCCGATCAGGGTGCTGTAATTTATTATGAAGTAAATATACACATAATAATATATGCATAACGATATAGAACAAAATAGTTAATTGAATTCGAAAACAAACACCTGAGGAAAATGAAAAACATAAAACTGACGAAGAAATAAAAGAAATGTCTGGGCAAGAACTAACAATCTTGTATGCCCAACTCTTATCGATATTCCCAGTCAACCATCATGCTGAACAATCCCTGCCTCTTCTTCTAGAATCATACCTTTCATTACTGTTTCATCGAAACTGTCATGTTTTATGTCCCTCTCCTTAACTCTTCTAATACCAGAAGATAGATTCGTAACAGATACCAGTGAAGAAATAATCGTTATTATAGTGCTTTGCTTTCACAACAGTAATATAACCATAGCAGCGACCATCGGATAAAGCGGATTTCCTGAGTGTATTCTAACCACAAATTTATGTTTAAAAAAAAAAAAATAGAAAACATAAAGCTAGGAAGGGGATTCGAGATTGAGTGTTTCACGCATCGTGCGTTGCTTGGGACCCAAATAGTAAATGGTTTGTTTAGCCAGATGAGCTTTCCCTCGCAGCACCTCGGGTTGTTATCTATCAACTCTACTACCTGAATGCAAGTTTATAACCTGACATACCAGGGTTTCGAAGTAAGCTGCATGGTATTTTGTAACAGACTCCTTCATGTTGAGTTTGAATACGGAGTTAGTGTGATTCCATTCAAAATACGGTGGCATACTATTTTGTAGCCCATTGACGAAGCATCATAAATTCGTATGCATACCTACCTGCCTTAGCAGATAACGATTACGCTGGGTGATGGTGTCACGTGACATTTTACTTCTCGTTGCATGGCTGTTGCTAGTATCGTACTTTAAGTAACTGGGAGCTCTCACATGTTAAGTTTCTGCATTAGTAGCATAAGTATAATAGACTGGAAAACTACTGTTTAGCAGCTCAACGATTTTATTTAATCTGGTTTAAAAATGACCAAGAGGCCACAGGGACAGCTTTTAGTTTAAGACAGTAAAAATCTGAAACATCTGGCCACTGGGTATAAAAAGGATCTGACTCAGTATTTGCCTCCTATTTTGGCAGTCGCTCTGTGGTCAGCACGGTAGGGTCGAAACGCCTTGTTTGCCGTTGTTGATTGCACTTAGTCTCAACGCACAGGTGTGTCAGATCGGACCGGCTGAGCGACGCTAGACTGGCTCATGTTCGCGATAATGGTACGTTTCTTTTGGTTAGATGGTGTTAGAATTGATTTCCACTGTGTATTCTCCCTAGGAGATAGTTTAATGGCAGGTCGCTATAAGTGATTTGTTTGTCTACTAGTAGCTGTCAGTATTTTGTTATTCATTGGTTTACCAGTTGCTTGGTTAGTTTTCTGCTGGTCTGCTCATATACCTTCTAGTTGTTCTTTAGTATACTTAGTGTTCGGAGTGTGTCGTCAAGTATTTTTGTTATATGTCATAAAGTGAATAATGTTTCTGTATTTGTCGACTTACATTCTTGTTATTTTATTTAATGTGTCTAGGTTTTACTCTTACACTATATTAGACCCCACACAGAATAATTCCTGTCAGGGTGAGATATTTTTGATCTTACCGCCGCCTACTAAGGCAGCAACAGGTTGGGTTTTGGCTCCCACTTGCCACGTGACATTGTCAGAACTCTTGTAGGTGCGGAGTCGAGGAGATGTCAAGGAGTAGATTTCCATATTATCCTTTATACTTAATCTCCTCTCTTTCCGCCATTACAAGTTACCCCTCTGCTTTGCTTCTAGTACATAAGCATGCAGCCTGCGTTAAATTTGTGTATGTTGTGTTTGTTAACACAGTAAACAAGTGTTACATGCTCGTTGATACGTAGACTGAGTGGCCTATTTGTAATAAATAATCATCATCAATCAGCAAGTCCTTTACAGAATGTCACTCTCTTCAAGGCACGCCTGAAAGTATCCATTTCTCTAGCCAGCTTTTCAGCCCAATGTGCTTTCGATGCCAATGCATCTACAATGTCCTGTATCCAATTTCCCTTGGGTCAACCCCCGCCTCGCCTTCCACAAACAGCACCCTCCATCACCGTCTTTTCCAAGCCACCATAACGTTTGATGAGGCCAAGATACTTCAACTCTCGGGACAGGACACTGTTTACAAGCCAGTTCTCCCCTGTAATAAATAATAAACAGCAGAAAACATGGTAAAATAATGTATTTTTTTTTTTTTTGCCTTTGATAGTGTAAGCGGCGATTGCAACCGTCACATGCACGCCTTACATCTGCTGCAACCGCACTTGACATGCACAGGTAAAGTTAGTTGCGCTGTTTTACAGTTGCGCTGTTGTGCGGTTTTTCTAGGCAAAAATTCGTCCAGTAGTTTGTTATTGCTTTCTTGACAGTTGGCTTTGTTGATACCACTGTCAAAACTAACGCAAAGCGCATGGCCCGCAGTTGGGATCGTACCTGGCATCCCGGTATTACGAAGCGTTCGCATCGACTTAGCCACAGAACCGACGACATGTACAGACAGAGTTGAAACATTCCAAAACCATTACCTGGGCTGTGTCGCCGATCCGATAAGTACAGAAGCAGAAAATCCATTTTTGTCGCACACGTCATCTGCACCTACAAAAATGATTAAACTAGTAAAAAAAAAAAAAAAAAAAAAAAAAAAACTTGTGCAACTGGGGGAAAAACTGATTAGACTAGCAACAACTGTCACAAGTACTGACACACTGGTTCAACTAACAAGAATGTCATCAGAACTTGACGCATTCATTAAATAACAACATATTTCACCAGTGAGTTGACTATCTCGCAGTCATTACGGAAGAAATGTGGGACTTTTGGGCTGAAATACTATGGAAAGATTCTCATAATACCTTGGACCAAGAATAAAAGAAATACTGGCACCCTGAAAGTTCTGATCTCAAAGGAAGATTGGATGGTAAACAGTACATTGTCTAGAAAACTGGATTTTTTTGCTACATCAAGGGATTGGAAATACTGATTGCAGAAGATATGGTACCAGGAAAGAGAGACAGGGGCTGATGTCATGTAGCCAGCATTGGTTCCTCACAGTACCTGTACCCCACTATGCTAATGATCTGGATTCAAATATGGATTATTCCACCATAAGTAAATAGTCCTTCTTTAATAAGTATGGGCCAGGATATAGGTACCTGAACTATATTCAGTCCTAAATCTATTAGGAGTGAGTTATATTTAGAATTCACTCACAGGTAAGAGATTTTCACGAGTAGTGAAGTTTTTCCCATGGTCGAACTACAGCTTTATTTGGCAGAGGGAATCTTTTCCGCTTCTGGTTCGGGAGAGTTTGAAAAATTGGCGTCATTCAAGACGTATCTTCCAAAGCCAGCGGACGTTCTAACGTCTTTTCTGTCGACTTACATATATATCTGGTTCGAAAGTCACCCTTTTCACCCTGGAATTTCAATAGTCTTTTCCTTATGGTTGACAAACTCCGTTTGCCCTGGAGAAATAACAGGCATAGCTATTTATGCTTGCTAGATGACACCTGCGGATAAATTTCTGTCAGTCACTGGTTTCTGAGCTTGAAACTGAAGATGTATAGTGTGGAATAATGGTACCAAGGCATAGGATTTAATAGTTGGTTAACCCATGTTTTCATTGCACTCTATTCTGTCTAATGACATGTGAGCTCTGATGCAGTGGCAGTGCTGGGTTAACTGGGACCTACGTCAGGATCAGAGTGATATTGATCAACAAGGGTACTGCCATCACCCCATCCTCCAAGTACCTACTATCCGTTACCAGACACCCAGATTTATTGTAGTCCAGTGACCTGACAAACTCTCTGGGAAGTGACATGATGGGTCACAATCCTTGGAAGACAGCTGCAGACACCACATCATCATCAGGTTATCAAGTTAAAGTTGTGCCACTGCAGATCGCCTGACTTTTGTGTTAATAAACTTTGTGTTACTGAACATTTTGTTAATATAGGTTAAAGGGAGTCAATCACTATTCAGCCATTTCAGACAATGACTGTTTAATAGTTAGGCATAAAGTCATTTACTAATAAAGAATAATCCATGCTCAAGAGAACAGTAGGAAAATTGTGTGTTCCAGCGGAATTGTGTAGCAGAAATCGACTTGAACTGAGAAAGGGAACTGATCAACCATTCTCTGCAACTGACGATAAGTATATACAAACAGAAGGTACATCCACCCTGACAATTCATGCCACGAGCTTATCATTACCTTATTACATTGTCAGCGCTGTTGTGAAAACACTCAGTTTTCTTATGTCAAGCCTGTAGTCATTCCTGACAAACTGAGACATTATTGGTCATTATTGGTCATTATTGGTCATTATTGGTCATTATTGGTCATTATTGGTCATTATTGGTCTTCTGTTTCAGCCCATTGAGATTTCTTTATATTGTTTGGAACTTATTATATCATGCTTTATTATTCTGAAATTACCTTTGTTGGTTTCTGGTATTTCACAGCTCACTTTAGTTGATTCTTTGTGTGTTTTGTTATACAATCAGATTTCTATTGATGCTGTGTGTGTGTTACTGTGATAGTGTTCCTATCCAGTCGGGGGGGGGGGGGGGGGAAATAAATGGTTAAGAAATCTAGCCAATTTGTGCTCAGGAATCTCTGTGGAAATTCTGTGGTGCCAAATACTTGAGTTGCCTCATCCCTTGAGTGGTGTTGAAGGCTTGTTGGAGCTGCTGAGTACCACCTAGACCTCAAGGAGTCGCCATCACAACAATATATCACCTCAGAGTGTCTTATATTACTAGGGGAGACCCTAAATAAGTCACGTGACCAAACCGTCTTGTGACAGCTGACCTGCGCGAAGATGGACTTACTTACTTACTTACTTAGTCGCTCCTCTTCTACCTTGGGGTGTAGAGGTTTGCCAGAGAGATCGCCAGACGTCTCTATCAGCAGTTTTCTTTCTGGCTTTGTTCCATTCCAGTCCTCTGTCAGTCAGGGACTGTCGGATGTTGTCTTCCCAGCGCACCCTGGGTCGTCCCGGAGGTCTGGTTCCCTGGTTCTTAGCCTCCCATGCTTGCCATGGTGGCCGATTTTCTCCCATTCTGCACACATGTCCAAACCATCGTAACTGTGACTGATCCACTCAGGATACAATTGACACCATTGGCATGAGGTGGGAGAGCTAGTGAGAGTTTCTTTCAGGCAGACCGTGGTAAGAGCGACGTTCTGCAAAGGACGTTTACAAAATGAAAATATGTCCCCAGTACTTGAAGAAATTATTAAACCAGGAACAAATGTCACATTACTTGAAGAATTTATTAAGTTAGCAATAAATGCCACATTGCATAAAGAACTGATTAAACTTGCAACAAGCGTCTCATAACTTGACGAAATGATTAAACTAGCAGCAAAGGCCATAATACTTAAAGAACTTATTAAACTATCAACAGAGGCTAATATAAATTGAGATCGATTCAGTTATAACAAATGTTAACAGACTATGAATTAGAAAGCGCGCACAGCGGCTATTCCGTAGACCTGTTCCTGTTTTAATAGCTTTTGTTGGAATATCATCTGGGCCAGCAGCTTCTCCATCCTTCAAAAGTTTGATAACCTTGCTATAACATTTATAATTTCTTCTTATAAGATATATTACGGTTGATATCTAGCTACATCTCTGCAGGTTGGATATGTTGGAGATAATTTAGGATTGATGTATCCACTGTTCTCATGTATTCACTTTTAGTCAATTCTGATTCAAACTTTTTTAAAAAATATATTAGTCTACCTGACAAATTAAAATGTCCTGCCAGTTGTGTGTGTGTGTGTGTGTGTGTGTGTGTGGTGTGTGTGTGTGTGCGCGCGCGTGCGTGTATGTGGGATTGTACAGGTCTCTGTGGC